ATATATATATATATATATATATATTTTTATATATATGTATATATAAATTATATATATATATATATATATATATATATATATATATATATATATATATATATATATATATATATATATTTATATATATATATATGTATATTTATATTTTTATTTATATATATATATATATATATATATATATATATATATATATATATATATATATATATATATTTATATATATTTATATATATATATATATATATGTATATATTTATATTTTATATATATATATATATATATATATATATATATATATATATATTTATATATACATCCGACGGAAATATTGTATTTATATAAATAAATTTAGGGTTGTTAACGCTTGATCATCGGAACAAAAATCATGTATGAGTTGATTATGGTTTGATATTTTAATATTCACGGGAGATTATTTTAGTTGTTTAATTTCGCAAAAGCAGTAATTGATCGCATATATTGGATCAATGTTTGGTTTAGTTCGTAAAAACAATCAACTTTTTGCGATGTTTTTACATACATTGGAAATACCATGGAAGTATAAAACAGATGGAAATTCATTGAGCCGCAAACATCAAAGCAATTTTAAGTCGTCTCGGGAGTGTGCTTGTAACCGACAAATAAAAAAAAACAAGTTTCACTGGTTAAAAAAACAACAAAGTTCACTGAATTGATCTTTATTAAAACAATAAAAAATGAATTATTCTAGGGATATGTTGCAAATTTTTAACCATTAGTAATTGCAATTATTTAACAAAAGGTTTATTAAAACTCGGTAATTAAATAGAACCACTTGATTTTAAAAGCATATGCTAGTTTAAGCTTCTTTTCTTGCTTCAAGTCATAACACGACATTTGATAAAAAAGACAACTAAAGCAATTTTTAAAAAATCAAAAAAATTGTTTTCTAAGTAACTAAAGTTTAGAGTTTTATTACCTGTATATGATAACTCCATTCATTCTTGTAGTACTTCATTCATTTAATATAAAGTTTATAAAAAAGTTGTTGTTTGCCGTTTAGTTGCGCCATTTTAATTGTTTTTCTTGAATGTTATTGGCGAACCTTCAAAATACTACATTTTTAAACTATTATAAATGTATCTATTTGCGTCAACGTATAAAGATTAGGCGTTTAAGTACAGTCTTAATGTCGTTTTCTTATTGTTTACGAAACAAAAGGTTACAAGCATAGTCCCGAAGAATTTCAATGCGGTTGAACTTCCATCTGTTTTATACTTCCTTGGAAATACGTTGATTTATATACATTGAATCAACGTCGAAATATATACGTTGGATCAACGTTGGGTTTAGATCGTAAAAACAATCAACTTTTTGCGATGTTTTTATATACATTAGAAAAACGTTGATTTATATACATTGAATCTACGTCAAAATATATACATTGAATTAATACATTAATTAAAAATTACCTATAACTTTTATTTAATGTATTAAAAATTATAGGTAATTTTTAATTAATGTATTAACCACACAAAAATTAATACATTAATCACACAAAAATTAATACATTAATTAAAAATTACTTATAATTTATCACATTCATTTACAAAATTTCCTATACTTACTGTATATTACTTTAAAGAATAAAGTCTTTTTTAAATGATCTATATACATAATTTCCAGCTCCCTTGAACAATGCTATAACACGTTTCAACATAATTTTATCCGAAGCATTATTAGCAGAAGCTGAAATTGAATTCCCACTTTTATGTTTACATCGATGGACGTTAAAAAATCATTGGTTATTTTAGTTTAATCATATTTTACTTTGTTTTAAAAATATATTTTAAGAAAACAACAACAAAAACACCATTAATTAAAAAAAACTTTCTAGTCATTAATATTGTGAACAAGAATATAGCAACAAATAAAACTTGGTTATTTAAAATTATTTCACTTTCATCAAACCTTATTATATCATAAAAATATCATAAAAAAAATAATTCTCAACCTCAGTATTTTTTCCCCGAGATACCCATTGCAGATAAAGAGGTTTTGATTTTAGACTTTAAACATGGTAGCTCCATAAACATTGCATATTGAAAACATGAGAACAGAGTAAAATATTAATGGCAAAGTATTGTTGTATTTATTGAATTAAATTTATTAACATCTGTTGAAAAATAGAAACTCAATATTTGTTCCACTTGTATGCTTAAAACTTGATGCCAGTTTATCGAAAGAATAAAGTGCAGCAATGTTTTATAAAAAGTTTTTTTTTTTTAATTTGTTGAAGAAATGTTTCATGTATTATCTATTAATTTGTTTCAAATACATTTATAGTTTTTAATCTTTTTAAAATATATTTATTTAGTTTTATTGGGGAAAAAAATATTGAAAAGAAACAGTTGACAAACTACAAATTCGTTAGAACACATACATTCCGTAACCTTTTTTCACTGTAATATCAGAACTTTCTTCTCTTATGTGCAAACCTTTATGATATGTTCCACTTTTCGTTCTAAAATTGATATTAAAAAACAAATGTAAAAGATTACACACTCCATTCTTTTATACAGACTTACATTGATGTATTTAGTTAAGAATATTAGATATAACACCAATTCTAAAAAAGCTTGCATACATGTGAGCTAAATTTGAAAAAACGAACCTGATTATTGAATTTTAGAACTTGATGACTCTGAATCATTTTTTAGGCGTGCATCTTACATCTATTTAGTTCGTTAGTCAAGATTTAGGTTTGCCAATATTTATAATTGCTATTCTTTATAATGTGACACAAATATTTTGTATTTTTTTACCTAACATACAGTTGCTTTCTTAATATTTTTATAATCTATGATTGTTGTCCGGTTAAGCTAAAAAAAATCATTTCTCAATATTATAAACACAAAGTTATTTCAACTAGAGGTTCTATTTGTAATGTAAAGGAATAGCTAGCTGGAGTAGAAATAGTCTAGATAGAAATAACTTTATACATTTATTAAAAGATTTATTTATAAAATGTTTCTTACACAAACTTACTTCGTTTTTTTTTGTTTCAATATATATTATATTTATCTTTATAATTTATATTGACAAAATAAAGTGTCAACATATTATATATCTTGACACTTTTATTTGTCAATAAAAATTATAGGTCTTGTCGCAGAGAACCGCTGAAATTAAAACGCTTTAAATAAATGTTCGTCTGTATAAACTTGTATGTTCATTTTTATTGATTTTTGTAAATTTTTATTTGCTTTTGAATTAGATCTGTTTCGATAAATAATTATATAAACCGTTGCAATACTTTATCAAAGAATAATTAAAAATAATTAATATACTTCAGCATAATTTTAATGTGGTTTGATGACGTCATAGTGTGTTAGTGATGTTAATTATAAATCCGTTTTCATCAATTAGATTAAAAAATAATAATAATAATTGTACTGAACATTTCTTGCTTGCGTTAAAGTTCTTTAAAATAAAATCTGGTTGGGTTAGACATTCTTGTTGATAATTACTCTTGTTCTAATATAGTTTTTTTTTTAAAGTATATATCGTGTTTGCATCTTTACTATTCAAGCCATCATAGGTGATATCATCAAATCCTTTTTGTAATCAATAACAATTGCCAAGCAGCCTATAGTCTATACGTTGCATTTTATTTTAAGTTATACACATACACATACAAACATATGAAGCATACACACGTATTAGCTATACACATACACACATATGACGCATACACACATACAAATATAAACATACGCAAGTAAACTTACAAAATTTCATTAACACATATAATTTTATACTTAATAAGCACATATACACATATAAACATACATTGTCTTTCATGGTAGTCAGAAAGTTTTTCCAATAAACTGCAGTTTTAAAAAGCGCGTTAATAAACAAGTCCAGAAAAAGTTTAAATACTTAAATTTTTTTTTTCTTAAATGATAACCTGCCCAAACCAAACTCTCAGTTGATGTAGCAGCGCTCCCTTGCAAGTCAGGCTATTTGTCAGTCGATGTAGCAGCACTCTGTTGCGAGTAAGGCTATACGATAATCGATGTAGCAACACTCCCTTGTTGCAGCAGGCTATAAGAAAGTCGATGTAGCAACACTCCGCGCATGTTTTAAAAATATATTTTAAGAAAACAACAACAAAAACACCATTAATTAAAAAAAACTTTCTATTCATTAATATTGTGGTTTTTTTTTTAAATCAATAAAATTTAATGTACTTCCGCATTAATTTAATAGCTTTGACATTTCGACGACAATAAAATATAGCTTAATTATCGCGGTAGCAAAATTGTATTCGAAAGAGACTTTTTTTACAATAAAAGTTGCTTTCGACTACACTATAAGGATATATATATATATATATATATATATATATATATATTATATATATATATATATATATATATATATATATATATATATATATATATATATGTGTATATATATATATATATATATATATATATATATATATATATATATATATATATATATATATATATATATATATATATATATATATATATATATATATTAGGGTAGGCTAAACGCCCCTCATTTTTGAAAATCAAAAGGCACTGTTTTCCATGTGGTGTGGGTGTACTCTGTGATCAATAAAAACCAAAGTTCAACTCATTTGCACAAATTTTGGACCCTGCTCAATGGGCTCAAATATCAAATTTTGGCCTCAAAAATCCATATAATGACAAAATAAAAATCTCAAAGGCACTGTTTTTTGATTGATTTTTTATGTTCATATGATCATTTTAAGCCTAACTTTATGATAATTGAATAAGACTAAGACTGTGCTCAAGAATTTTGGACCCTGAGGTCTGACCCGGTTTCCTTAAAAATTAACCGGTTTTTAAAACATTTTTTATTAAACGGTTTGTTTATTTTACTAAGATCGCGATAATTTTAGACGTCCTATGCAGTAATTAATTTTTTCGCATAGAAAAATCGTTGAATAATTTTAGTTTTAGATAATTATGGGAAAAGACACAAGATCAAAACATAAAGTTTTTTTGATAAATGATATTGTCGAAATACTATCATCATCTCAATTGCCTACTGGAGAGCAAGTTCTGCAATATTTACATGGCAAACTATTCAAAGCAAGAAAAGAAAATTTAAAATATAGACTCTGTGATATGGTTTCTTGCAAATTTCCACATGGGAGTTTTGAAATTGGTTGCAATAACCCTGGAGGGTGTAATTTTCAGAAAAACCCATGTGTTGTTTCGTCACTGAAGAAAATCTGGAAAAGAAGTGCAATCCCAATAGTAGCTGACCAACATATTAGGTAAATAATAATTTTATACACAGTATTTATTTATTTTTAAAACTAAAACTTAAAGAATCTTACTGTAAGAATAAAATGTTGTTTCTTTATATAGAAGTAAGATATTGTGCTTGGAAGATCGTAGAAAGAAACTATCAAAGAACAAATTACGTGACACACCACACAATTTAAGAAAAATAGACGCTTACAAACTTGAAATAAAGTGCTTATTTGATATTAGTGTGAATGATGCACAGCAAAAAATTCTATTGAATAAGCAAGTCACTAAAAAGGAAAGAAATATTGATATAAACTTTTTGAATGATCAACGAGGAGAACGTAAAGCTGTCATGGGTGGAATAGACAAGAAGTACTTATTTACTACTCGTAGAAAGCAAAAGGGGATTGAGTTTACCAATAAGAGAATGATTACTTCAAATAGTAACAGATTAGCTTCTGAATTTATAACCAATTTAACTTTAAATCAGGTTAGAAATAGCAGTGTAGAAGCACAGAACAAAGAGGATAATCAAGATTTTGAATATCAAAAGGACTGCAAACCAAGATCTCATAAGAGAAAACCAGATTTTGTTGAAGTTATGCTACCTAGAAAAATCTTAAAGGCCACTGCTGTTACAGCAAAGAGATACGGTATTCAGAGTTCAGCGCATACCACTACATTGGCTAATGTCATCAATCAGCAGGCGGAAATCTAAAGGACTTTGATATTTCTGTTACGTCAGCAAAGGTTCATTCAAGTACTGTAATTAGTGAATATGGTTTAAAAGTTAAAGAAGATTTTATTGTAAAAGCTAAGGGGAAACTACTTTGTGTTCATTTTGACACAAAAATAGTAAAAGAGTATTTTTATGGTGCGAATATAAATGTTGAGCGGTTAGCACTAGTGATTTCAAGTCCTAGTATTGGTAAAGAACAACTTATTGGAGTTCTTTCTATCACAGATAGTCGTGGAATAACACAAGCAAAAGCAATTAAGGAAATACTGGAATCTTGAAATCTCTGGGATTCGGTACATAGTGTATGTTTTGACACTACATCTTCAAATACAGGTGAGAAAAATAAACTCAATAAAATAATAAAGACATTTTATGACATTTTGTATTATGATATTTTTGTATTTTCATAATTTTTATTTAAAAAATTTCACATTGAATAAATGAATTAAATTAAGGCTGGATGCAGGGTGCCTGTGTATTGCTAGAAAAATGGCAGGGCAGACCATTACTATGGTTTGCCTGCAGACATCACATATATGAGCTTCATATTAAGGTTAGAAATAGAACTATTAAGTAATTTTATTCTTGGTTTACTCATATAGCCTTTTCCTAATCTCATTTGTCATTATCTAGCATGTAGCACTTGCAGTTTCTGGAAATATGTCTGATGGACCAGTTGATAATCTTTTCAAAAAAATTCAAAATTTCTGGGAAACTATTAAGCCTGACATAAATTTAAACAATCTTAACAGGTTTGAATGGAGCAAGAGAAAAGGAACATTTTTAGAAGAACAGGTAAGGAGAATTGCATATTTCTTTTCTCTGAAAATTTTTAAAACAAAATAAACTTATTTGCATTATATTTTTTCAAAGGCTCTAAAAACCAAAATATATCTTGAATACGCCTTGTTTACAGAAAAGTTTCCTCGTGGTGACTATAAGCATTTAGCAGAACTTGTTTTGGTTTGGCTAGGCAGTGATAAGCTTGGAAATTTTAAGTTTCGTAAACCTATAGCTTTTCATCATGCAAGATTTCTTTCAAAAGCTATCTACTACATGACAATAGAACTGCTTACATTTCATTTGCAACAATTTGATATAATTAGGGAAGAAGAAATAGCAACAGTTCCTCAAATTGCTGAGTTTATTGGGCTTTTTCATGCAAGATGGTTTCTGAAAGCACCATTGGCAGTTTCTTCTCCTTCTTTAGACTTATGTGCAATCAGGGATATGACCAAGTATGGATCATTTAACAAAACTGTGTCAACTACTGCTATTAAAAGTATTAAAAATCACTTATGGTTTCTTACAGAACGAAATGTTGTGTTTGCTCTTTGCGACGAAACACTTGACAATAACATTAGAGAAAAAATTGCCAAAAAACTATTTTTATATCCTAGACCTTCAAATTTAACATTGGGAAAACCACTTTTTCCAAATATTGACATAAAAAAAATTTCAGAGTTATGGCAACTGGTTGGACCTCAAAGTTGGATTCTCATTCAGCAGCTAAATTTATCTGTAATAGAAACAGAATGGATGCAAGTTAGCTCCAAGTAAATATTTCTCATAAATTATTTCTTATGTTATTTTTTGGCATTTTTAAAATATTTTAGGATAACTATTTTATTTTAGAGATTGGAATAATTTCTCAGGATATAGAGTTCTGAAAACATTCGTAGAAAAATTAACAGTAGTAAATGATTGTGCTGAGAGAGGAGTAAAGCTCATCCAAGACTTTACACACATTTGCCAGGATGAGGAGTTAAAGCAATCTTTGATGATTTCAATTTCAAATCACAGACAAAAGTTTTCAGTCAATTCCAAAAAGAATTTGTCTAAAATTCTTTAACATGCAATTGTTACATGAAATTGTTTATATGATTATTAAATATCAAAATATATATCAAAAGTTGTTATTTCATATATTTATGCCAGGTTTATTTATAAAAAATTTCATTTCTATAAATAAAAATTGTAATTTTTACTAATAAATATGGAAAAATAAGCTTTCTAAATACGTATATGTGCATAATTATTAGGGTAGGCTAAACGCCCCTGATTTTTAAAAATAAAAAGGCACCGTTTTCCATGTGCTGTGGGTGTACTCTGTCTCTGTGTACGTCTGAAAACGATTTTATTTTTTAGTTTTGATTTGTATACAAATTAAATATTGCAGAACTCGATCTCTATAAGATAGTTGAGAGGGTGTCCTCTATATTTCTAGAGAATTTAATAAAGTCATTTATCAAAAAAACTGATATTTTGATTTGATGTCTTTTCCCGCTTTGTTTTAAATTTTTTCTTTTTTTTTTTTTTTTTTTTTTTTTATAATTTAGCCGTACAAATATTTACAAGTTCCGTAATTTAAAATATTTAAAAATGGCAAGGACGAGAAGAAGACGGAGTTGTCTTATCACCAAGTCCCTTGTTTGTCTAGACATTTATATAAATACATGGTAACTAAAATGAAAATTAAAAAATTAAGAAAAAAGCAAAATATTACAAAGAAGTTTATATAAAATGCAAAATAGTTTAATAGTTCAAAGTTTTGAAAGATATTTTTTCGATTTTATTTTTTGAAAGAAAAATTTAAAAGTTCATTCAGAAAAACAAAAATATCAAAAAACTAAAAAACATGAAAAAAGTAAACGTAAAATTTAATTTACAATCTGTTCTTATAAAGTGTAATATATTAATTCCTCAAAAACAAATTACAAAATATTAATATAAAAAATTAAAACTCAAAAAAGATTACTTTTTTTATTTTTCCTCTCTCTCTCTTATTTAAGAAAACTAATAAATTTATTTAAACTAATGAAATCTAAAAATGCTAAAAATCTTTATAAGTACTTTTATAATATAACAGACTGTAATACCTATATAAAATTAAAGAATTTAGACCTTCCAGACAAATAAAGTATGCATTAGTAGATAGTTTTAAAATATAATATTTTTATAGATAGATTTAAAAATAATTATCTGTTTGTTCATTATTTAAAAGTAATAGTTTTAGTTTTTGTTTAAACTGATCAAGAGTTTTAAGTGTTTTAATATCATTACTGATTATCTTATTCCATGCATTAGGTCCTCTAACAGTTATTGAAAACTTGGTGGAGTCGTAAATAGTTTTGGGTTGAACAAAGTTGTTGTTAGAATATTTAGTTACGTATTTGTGTTGAATTTTATTAAAAAATGGTTTGAAGATATTTGGTATTGAATTGTTATTAATTTTATACATAAAAATCAGAAGATGATATATATTTATTTGGTACACATTTAGTATTTTTAGATTGTTAAACAATGGTCTTGAATGTGAGAGGCGGTGTGCATTTGATAATAATCTAATTGCATGTTTTTGTTTGCTAAATAGCTTTTTTATCTTTGTTTTATTGGTGCTACACCAAGCAATGTTTGCATAATTAAGATAAGAATGTATAAATGAGTAATATATGTATTTCAAGCAGGATTGATCTAAGAATGGTTTTGCTTTATAGAGTAATCCAATATTTTTAGAAATTTTATTTTCAATCATGTTTATGTGGTCTTTCCAATTTATGTTTTCATCTAGAATTACACCTAAAAATTTCATCGAACATTCTCTTTTTACGATGTAATCTCCAATAATAAGTTTTGGAAGTTCAAGAGGATAATGTAAAAAATAATATAATGTAATAGGTTATTAATAATAAAAATATTTTTTATATACTGCTATATAAATATGTCATACTTTAACTTAAATAATACACAAACAAACACTTTATTCAGTGATTCAATTCAATTCAAGTGAACTTTTTTGTTTAAAAAGTTAAAAAAATTGTATAAAAATTGAAGGGGGGCGGCATATCCTCCACCCCTGCCTAACCTTCCCAACAACTTCAATCTTATTTAATATAATGCTTTTATTTGTAAATAATTTTGTTATCCAAAAAAAGTAATTACAAATAAAAAGTCCCCCTAAAAATTTGCA